CGTTTATGCTCCACCTATTATAACTTACCTTGATTTTCGTATGACATCTTTTTATGTTTTTCCACCAACACCGTAGAATGTACTTATCTGGAATGTGTGAAACCCTTTTATGAATCAACAAAATAATGGCATGTCTGCATAAAATTCCTTTGACTCAAACAAATGACAATTGCAGCGAATATCACATGAAATTTCTTCAAAGTATACCAGAAAGGGAACACGCCGATTACTATCTCTAAACCAAACATCTTCTAAAACTTGATACTTCTCATACGAATCGGACTCTTTCAGAAAAGATAATTCACAATAAATCTTCCCCGTAATCTCTTCTTGAAACTCTTTAAATTTTGCAGTTGTGTATGCATTTTGAAATTGTTTCTCAATGGGGTAATTAGTTATGCAAGGTATCCAAGACTTGAAAGATCTAAAATCAGCCTCCCTTTCCTTTTCCACTTTATCTCGCAATGCATTATCATATTGTTCCACAAATTGTTTCAATGTTGTTTTGGAATTTACATATCCATCGAAAAATGCATGCATACTTTCACTACGTTGGATAGTAGACATACCTGCCTAGAAAGTATCTTTAAGAAATGTAGGCACCCAACGTACTCTTTCTTTATACAATCCATATAAACATTCATTCTCATGAAGGTTATACACATCAATGAATTTGTTCCACCGTTCTTCGAACTCTTCACGTGCCAACGAATCATACACAATATTTTGTAATGTAAACTTTATAGTTTCATATTCGTTATACCCTCTTAACTTCTCAGGCAATTTTTTATTACATGCCACAAACACCACCTATGTCTTGTACCGGGGAAAACAATCTCAATTGCATTTTGCATGGCCTTATCTTGATCAGTGATAATTCTATTAGGAGCAACATCCATGCATTCAAGCCAAGAACGAAATAACCATACAAATGTCTCTGTGTCCTCATGTGAAATTAATCCACAACCTAACAATGTCGAATGCCAATGATGATCAACCCCCACAAAAGCTGCAAATGGCATATCATACTTGTTCGTCAGATACATTGTGTCGAAGGTCACAACATCACCGAAATCTTTATATGCGACCTTACATCTAACATCAACCCATAGCACATTCTTCAATCGACTCTCTTCATCTACATCAATCATGTACCAGAAATTTGAATTCTCCTTTTGCATTTTCATAAAATACTCTAACACCGCCGAAGCATCTACAACTCAAAGTCGTAGCCTTCTAACTTTTTCAATGTGATTCCTATAATCTTTTTGTAGAAATGTCAAATTCTTTACACCTCCTGCCTCAATTGAACATGACTGAAAATTTTTACACAGTCTAATCCCAGCCTGATCATTAACTTCAAGCTTCCTTTTCACAAAAGGCTGTATCGTTCAGTTTACCTTGAAATATCTCCTTTTCGTTGGACTTGTAAGATCATGATTATGTTCAAGCACAACTGATTTAATTTCCCATTTGTATTCACCATTCAAAGTTGCACTAATCCGACTCTTACAATCTGTTTTTGCAACAGGTTGTTTTTTCAAGGTATTTCTGTATTTACTTCTCTCCTTCCCAGAACAAGAACACACCACTATCATGTATCTCATCTCCCCATCATCTCCTTTCTTTGACGTACGTATCATTGCTTCAAAACCCATTTTATTCCCATACCTTCTGTAATACTTCACCAAACTATCAACTGAATCAAACACCATTCCAATATGAGGTTCCACTTCTTCCTCTGCACATCCCGTATCTTCTAATTCATCACATTTATTTTCCTAATTCAATGGTTTGATAATAAAGAAAATTAGAATGTGAACACATCATAATAAACAATACAATACACCATATTTAAAAGTTTCAAACACAATTTACCTCAATATCATTGAAACAAAGCAAACTGGACTTTTCCATATTAAGTTATTTCATACACAACTAATACCAATTTTCGTGTTCACAAATCTAGTTCACAACTGTCTATAAAACGAATATGAATGTTATCTATCAAACATATATTCAATCCAAAATAGAATGGAAACTAAATGAATATATAAAATAAGTCAAAAATTCTTTATCTTAACAAAAAATCCGAGCTTTAACAGGTTTGATATTTTGTTATTTTTGTTTCTCGGTTATCTCTGTAAAACAAGGTATTGCTGCTGGTGCTTGGCTGATGAGGAAGCAACCGGCATCGAAGCAAGGAATGACAACACGCAACGAAGGAGAAGCGAAGAAAAACAAATGGCACAGACGAAGAACAGAAGAAAAACAAATGACAAAGACGAAGGAGAAGAGAAGAAAAAAATTCTGGCGCTTAAAAATGAAGCGTATTAGACAAGCCATTCAATAATATTAATTAACAAAAAAAAAAATTTATAATGTAAATATGGACGCCAGTCCATGTGGTTTGGACGGCCATCCATGTAGTTTGGACGACCGTCCATACTAGATGGACTGGCGTCCATGCAGTATGGATGGCCATCCAAACTACATGGATGACAGTCCATACTAGATGGACTGGCGTCCATGCAGTATGGATGGTCGTCCAAACTACATGGACGACAGTCCATACTAAATGGACTGCCGTCCATATTTACAATATATTTTTAAAAAAAATTTAAATATTTATAATTTCACAAACTGGGGATGGCAGTCCATCTAGTATGGACGGCCGTCCACAGCAGATAGATTACCGTCCTGTTATATTTTAAAACTTTTTTTTATAAAAAAAATTCCAAAATTTTAGGGACGGGTGTCCAGTTAAAATGGACAGTCGTCCCTATAAGATGGACGACCATCCACAGATGATGGACTAGCGTCCATCATAAAATGGACAGTCGTCCTTATAGGGTGGACGACCATCCACAGATGATGGACTGGCGTCTATCTTTATGGATGGTCGTCCATCCTATAGGGACGGGCATCCATTGGCCGTCCATTTTAACTGGATGCCCGTCCCTAAAATTTGGATGGGCGTCCATCGTTTTTTTTTTCTTTTTTAAAATCTAAACAACTTTTTATGGACGGTCGTCCATTCCACTATGAACGATCGTCAGGGATGTATGGACAACCGTCCAAAAATGTTGGACAACCATCCATTTATGTCAGTATTCAATCGTCCAACGTGATGGCCTCCACGTGTTTCAGTGCAATTCTTCGATGGATATAGCATTTTTGCTTCTACTTATTCAGACATTTTAATTCAAAGAAGTCAATGATTGAGAAAGCATGTTACCTGCTGTATAAAGTAGCATCAATAGTAAATTTATTAGTAGTCAACATCAAAATACAGTAAAACCTCCCTATAATCATAATAGGAAGACTAATTAATTTTATTACTATAAGGAGATTATAATTTAATAGAGTCGTAGTTATTAAAAATTCTTATTTTATAATTCATGTTTTAGTAATACAGTATTAAGTTTTCAATTCATGTTTTAAATTAATTATGATTTCAATTCAACGCTTCAATTACCTACTTTTTAAACGAATAGAAGATCGTGTCTAAGAACAACAAAGATAAGTATCCTTGATGGAATTGTAAATACAGTTACTGTATGGTTAAACTGATGTAAAGCCACAAACAATTGTTAATTGTTTTAAGCATTACAAAATTAGGATCTCTGATATTGATGAATTGTAAGTTATAAATAAAGTGGATGAAAAGAATCAAAGAGTCATTGTAAAATTGAGTGATCAGATTTGATAACTTTACTACACTAATCGAATGGATATTAATGTCTTCCTTAATAATTCAAATGAACAACAAATCATGTATACTTTAACTGAAAAAGAAATCATTGCTACAATTACACAAGAAAAGAAAGAAAATAATCATAAGGATGATAATACGGAAATACAAAAATTTTTGTGCCAAGAAACTCCAACCATGCTTGAGAAGCTATAAATATTTTGGCTTTAACAAAAACATGTCCATGCTAACAAATAATGTACTCGCAAGTTAAAAAATGTGATAACAATTCTAAAGCATAAATCATTCTCTCAAACAATTTTAAATAAATATTTTATTTCATCTTAAACCTTTAATGTAACAAATAATATTTTTTTTTTTTTTGTAATATACACATAATTATTACTATGTGGAAATAATTTTCCTTGACAAAAATTAAAAAAATTATAACTTATTACAATGTGGAGTTTATTCTTATTTATAATTATCCCTAGTTGGGAATATAAGGTCCGTTTGTTTTATTATTTTGGATAAGATTTTGGGAACAATATTGAATAGTTGAATATGACAATATTACGAGGTAAAATTTACAAAAAAAACCCCATAGGTTTGCTAATTTAACTAAACACCCTAATATATAATTTTTTTATAAAATGACAAAAACACCCCCACCCACCACAGTGCCAGATTCTGGCAACCAAGCCAGAAAATGGCATTATGATGCAAATCGGTCAGATCTGGCAAGTAGGGCGTCGATATGGCCTTTTCGGCCAAATCCACCACAGATCTAACCAAAAAAGGCCAGATCTGGCATTTTCTAGCCAGATCCACTGTGGATCTGGTCGGAAAAAGCCAAATCGGTGAATTAACAACCAATTTCAATCGTTAATTTACCGTTGTGATAGATTTCGACTACCACCAATCGTGGTTGCCGAAATCTGACAAGTATAGGTGGGTGGGGGTGTTTTTGTTAATTTTTAAACTTTTTTCTGAGGGTATTTAATGAAATTAATAAACTTAAGAGGTCTAAAAGTAATTAAAAAATATACTAATATTTCTCAAATAATGTACTAAACAATATTTTGGGAATAAGATTGAGAATATGGATATAAATAATATACCAAACGCACTCATAATTTTTTATAACTATGTAAAATTTATTCTTATATAAAGTATCACTATAGAGAGGTTTTACTGTATAAGGTTCCGAGTTGCGTTTTCGATTCCTATCTTATGTTATACACCCAATTTGTGATCACTGAAGCTTTGGAGGAAATATGGGACATCTGAAATAAAGAATTAAAAGTTATATTTCTGATAAGAAAAATTACACTAATATTTATTACCTTCAAAGGGCCCTCCAATTCAATTGTTGTAGGATATTACACATGATTCTAAGCAGCTAAGGCACATTCTTCCCAACAAAATTCAAGAGCTCTGTCTTTGCTGCTTCCGTTACGGCTTGGAATTCTATTTGCATATATCTTCCCCTGTAAAGTGTACAAAAATATTCAGCATGATTAATCCAGCCGTGGTGAAAGTACGGAATTATTTTTATGCATTTTAAGCAAATCACTACACAGTATACAAAAAGAGCATGTGGTTCAAATGCACTGAGATGAAAAGGAAGAATACAAAATTGTCTCACATGGAAAAGTTTGACAAACTGCCACAAGTAGAATTAATTTACCAGAAATGAGTTTTAGACCAAGTTGTAGAAGGGTATGCTGGACTTGCAATGCCATGCATTATCCTTGCAACAGCTCTAGGGGTAAATTTCGTATGTGAGTTACTCTGCAGAAACACCTATGATGCCCAAAAAGGAACAAATATCAACAACACTGCCAAATGTGAGTTGCCTTGAGAACAGAACCTAAATACACCAGTGAAAACCCTTACCTTTATATCTGCTCGTAGAAATGGGCTGCAAATATAAATGAGAGCACCATCAGTCCGTTGAACATCTAAAACCGAAAAGGGAAAACCATAGAAAAAGTTGAGTATAGCTAATTAAGACAGCAAAAGTTTGTATTTACCTGCTCTGACCAATCTTATCAGGGACATTACAGTCACCATCTCCCTTAAAGTAATCCAAAATCTTCTTTTGCAAGCAAGGGGTATGTTGTGAACCATAGCAGCCATGTGCCTTCTCACACATGTTCACAGCAAAAACTGCAGCATTGAACATTGTGTCCAATTTGGTTACCTAATTCAGGGAAGAAAACATAGTAGGTTATAGAAATGGAAAATATAATTTTCATGAAGAGCAGATATGTCTTCATATGTGTTTATTTATGTGGCTAAACCCAATTCAGCATCAACCTGAACTATTGACTTCAGGGATGGGCTACAACAAAATACCAAATGAATTGCTGTCACTTTTAAATTGTACCTTTGAAGTATAGCAAAATAAATAAAAAGGAAAAGGAAAATACCAAAGAAGAAACAAAAGCGCTTCATAGCTGATAGTGCACATTGGTGCTTAATAACCTAATAAATTCTCCTATATTACAATCTTGGAAGAAAAGTGCCGAAGAAACTGGCCTGGTTGATTTTTGGATGAAGCATGACGCACTTCTGAAAAACACAGCTTACTACTATGTCTATGGTGCAACACCTAGTATAAGTACTACATATAATTAAACTTATGCTTCTGGCGTATAAAGCATTGAATATATTGTCATTACACTACAAATGAAAACCAGCTTAAATTACATTAGAACTAATCACCTTGCAAATTTCGACCTCTGATAACCATTTTGTAAGATGTGCTGAAAGAGTACAAAATTCACTAGGGAGCTCCACAATTGTATAAAAATAGGCAGGATCCTTCAATTCGTATGTTATTTCTCCCATCAACTAAAATGTCCAGCAAAAAAAGAGATAAAAGGAGGTATTTAGTAGATGATAACATGTAAAATATGAAGTTAGGAAGGATTAAGAAGGTTTCCTTCTAGGCAAACTTATGTATGGCTGCCACACACTAACACTACTCTGTCAAAAGATCCCCACCTTTAAATTCAGCAACTGATTTGATACATCAGTAGCTGTAGCCCCAATGCTGTTTGCTACAGTAGGAATGTCAAACACATATTGCCCTTGTTTAATCTCAGACCTGAAAGGTTGATCACAAAGGGTTTCATAACTTGACGTAGATTCAATAGCTTTGTATTTTCAGAAGTACAAGTATACTCACTTCTTTAGAATTGCTGAGACGACACTATCCTTGTCAGCAAGCAATGTTGGAGTGGTCTGCACTAGCAAATTTCAAAAGTATTTAGACAACAAAATATGGGGGTATTGTAACATCACAGAAGTAGAACAAATTAGATGAACATTATCCAAAACTAAGTGCTTTTCAAATACTTTTACAACGAGGCTGAAACATATTTGATTAACTATTAAATGATGCTTTTATTAGCATACTCCACTAGTAAAAGCAAAAACTGAACGGAATCACACCCTCTAATTTACGTTGAGAGGTCTAATAGTGCTGCAAAAGCACCTGAAAGGCTTGAATAACCTCCCTTGATCCCTGAAGTCATTAAAACATGCAAGCTAGCTTATTATGGAACATGCCATTTGAAAAGAATTACCTTATGGAAATTCAAAGTACAAGTTGCATTTAGCTGTGGGAGTAGACGCAAGTATTGTACTTCACCCAACTCCAAGCGCGTTAAAAGAGTAAGCATCACCTGATAGAATCAAAACCCAGCAACACAGCTTATTATGGAGTATGTGGTATGCCAGAGGAAGTTCAAGAATAAGTTGCTTCACTATTGTCCGCACTTTTCAAGCACCAAGAAGAATATAATGTGCATGGGCACATGTCTATGTGCATTAAGAAATACAAAAACATGCAGAGACAAGCTCAGCTTCATAGCTCATATTTATTGACAGGCAACAATTTTCTCCTAGTAAGAGAGGTACTAGAATAATCATCAGGCTACCAACATAATTTGGAGACATGAAGATTGTGGTCTGATAATGTAACTTCCTAAAAATATTTTTCACAAAACTATTTAACGAGAATCAATAATTTTGAAGGAAAAAACACTTAGTCCCCTGAGATTTGTTGTCAAACTCAGCCCTATGATTTTATAATAACATAACATCTGCCTTCAACAGTTTAATGATTCTCATTCTTATGGGTCTAGCCATTTAGGTGATATTCATCCTAAATTTCATAAAACATAAATTGCATTTGATATCATGACAAATCATAAGGGGTCTGTGATATACTGAAAACCACATGAAACGAGTCTAATATTTAAGACAAATATCAGATGTCTAGATATATTTATCCTTATTTCTATCGTATCTGTTTCCTAAATATTGTATCATTCAGAAAGTTGATGCAAGAAGAGTTCAAGGACCATACCTCTTCCTTCATATCAAATTTCCTAGAGGCTGATTCCTTGACTAATGAATAAATTTTCCCACAGGAATTCTTGCCATTCGAGAAAACTTGACAGAGGAATTTGTTTATAGCATATTCATCTACTCCATCGCTGAGAGTCAAAATGTTGTAAATCAATTCTAGGCTTTAAAACCCTAGCATAAAATATTTGTCAACTGAGAAAACTACCATAAGTTGACCACCTATGCATAAGACTACGGAGCCTGAAGTATATGATATCATCAAAAAAGAGATGACAATAGGACAACCTCCCATCTCGTCCAGCACGTCCTATCTCCTACAAAAGGTTTATCATTCATTTCGTTCAGCAAACTTTGACGTACAGACCTGTCAAAGAAATTGTAGTTTAGAATGAAATATGTACCTGAACATACTCTTCCAAGCTTTCTGGCATGCTGTAGTGAATTACCTGGAATAAAACAAAAAATATCATGGTATGTCATTGTCAATAAAGTCAACTATACGTCGGTGCACCAGTAAGTGCAGAACAATAGTCAACATCAAAGCATGTGATGACAGCAGCATTACAAGGGTAAAAAAAGTAATCTCATTACAGCATTTAATTCTCATGTTCCAACATCAGCATTGAATGTTATATTGTCATTGAATAACCAAACTGATTATCATATTAATCTATGAATTAAACTCTTTTTTTTTTTAATTTTCAGGAAAAAATCATATTTCTGTATCTCTATTAGAATCAGTATTCTGGAACGCAATCCTCAGAAATTTGGAGCAGAGAAGCAACCAAATTTGGCATATCCCTTCTGTACACCACAAGATTGAAAAGCAACTGGCATGCCAAACTGATGGTTTACTTCATAGAATCACCAAAGGCAGCATACCAGTTCATGTGATTGAATGCAAAAGCAACACATTACTCATGAGTATAGTTTTTTTTCTCACCGCTCCAACATCCCTCTTGTCAAGTCCCATGCCAAATGCCACAGTTGCAACGACCTTTAATTGAAAAATGGAAGTCAATTATTCAACAACTACAAGTTTAAAAAGACCTGAATGAAGAGACAGGTATATTTGCATATAATTAGACCAATGCAGATATTCAGGATTCAACGGGTACAATAATAGTTGACTCACCACTCTGATCTTGTTAGAGCAAAACAAATCCTGTACACGGCTGCGATCCTTAGCAGGGATTCCACTGTGGTAACTCTAGAAAACAATAGCCAATAACCTTTTTCAGTTTTTACCACTAAATATTAAGGATGCAGTTAGATGAAGAAATTAAAAAATGAACTGAGAAGAGAAATGAAATTCTCACCTTTGCGGAGATATTGTTATCGCATAAGTATCTGCTTATAAGATCAGTTTCAAACTGTAAAATTCATATTCAAGTGTTAGTCACCAATCAATATCAAGCAACAAAGCTCATCTTTGCAATCCATAAAACTTAATTCTCATTAAACATGTATATTGATCTTTAAAACACCCTACGGCCACCAACGATTATGAACAACATTTTGTTTCACGCCTAGCAGAATTAGGATATAGTCCATTAATCTGGAAACTGGAAGCTGATACACAGGACAGAGACACATGATTACAGGATGAAAATTGATGAGCATTGACCTGAATGACATCATAGGAACCAAACTAACTTAAGGATAACCAACCAAAGAGGCTCTACAGAATAATCTTAAATAAACATTAGGAACCAAGGACTAGAAAGCATTATATTATGTTAACGTAAATGCTTACCTGAAATTTGCAATATATAATAATACTTTGAACTTCCGTGAAGGGAGAAGAATTGATTAACCTTAGCAGCTCTTTCGTTCTAGTAAATTAAAGGAATTAAATGTTAAATTCAACAGATTTATTGAATAGGTTATACAAGATAAAAAGTAAGGAGTAAAAAAAGAAGCAGCATCACTTGCCTGTTGTTTCCACTCAAAGATACTGATAATTGTAGATTGTCCCTTAATATGGCTTTTTGAATGAGATTGCTAGCTGGGATTTCTAAAGCAGACATAACATCATGCAAAGTAGTGACTGTGGCAGTTGCAGTCATTGCAAGAATGCACTCAACATTGAGTCTTGCTCGAAGTAAAGACGCCCTAAGCCTCATGTACGAGGGCCGAAAATTGTGTGACCTGTTGACATGTTCACTGTCTAAATAAGCATATATGGAAATTTCATGTATGGCTTGAGGACTTGATAAAATAAAATCCAATCAGAAAAGAGACAGTGCAACCACTCACCATTCTGATATACAATGAGCTTCATCCACAACAATAACTGATATAGACAAAGTAGCAGAAAATATTGACAAAAATTCTGCATTTAGAAACCTTTCTGGAGAAACAAAAAGCACCTGAAGTACAAACCACCAAAATAAATCTTTAGCTTCGTACTTGTGAATCACATGATATGCATATCAGAACTTCTCTACAATAAACCCATTTGAAAAAGAACAATATTATAAAGTTGGCAACTAAAGTATAAATGTAAGCCACATAATAGTTCGGAAACTAAACAAATTGCAATTTAATATTTTTACAATGTGTAATAGAACCAAATAACAAATTCAAAAACATCATAATATCACTCAAATTGTTGGCAAACTCACCTTTATGACACCTTCTTGAAGCAACCTCAGCGTCTCAGTAACCTCTTCAGGTTTCTAAAACAACAAGAAACATCAGCAATCATAATCAATCAAAAAGTTTAAAAGCAAAAGATCAAAATGCATCAATCACCTGACCGCTACTCAAAAGACCGCCTCGAACCACAGGAGGCAGCTGTCTCAACTGATCAATCATTAACGCTACTAACGGACTGACAACCAGAGTTAATCCTGGTAAAACCATCGCCGGTATCTGATAACACAACGACTTCCCGGCACCAGTTGGCAAAACCAGCATCGTTGATTTTCCTTCAAGCACCATCTTAATTGCCTCCAACTGTCCATCACGAAATGAATCATAACCGTACACAAGCTTCAACAAGCTCACTAGATTCTCATCAGACGCCTCATTTTTAACTGCTTTCACTGCCTCATCAACTAAATCACTTGCTAATTTTCTTTTCTTTTGATTCTGTTGCGCGGCTTCAATTACTAGATCTTCTTCTTCACCACTTAAATTTTTCTGTTCCTTTTTATTTAATTTTGACTTACTTCTCCTATAAGATTTCCTACCACAGGATGATGCATAACTGTTTTTGGTTCTTGTACCTTTGTTAACGAATTTACGTTTCCCGCGAGTCAAATTCAACCTCACGAAGTTACCTTCTCCGCTAGATTTTCGTAATTTCACCGGCGGCAAAGGCACATCCACGCTGACCAAATTAATCTGTTTCTTCACCTTGACAACATCACTTTTGATTTCAGAAGTTTCCGGATTAGATGGAGGAGGGAGAGATTGGTCATTTTCGAAATTGAGAGAGGTTTTATGGATTTTTGAGAAGGACGCGTGTTTTGAGAAGAAGCCAGCTGGAACGGTTTCGAGGGAATCGGTGACCGAGGTCGAGAAATTTTGAGTGAATGGACGGCGAATCTGGAAGGGTAGAGTTTGGAGGGGAGTAGGGTTGGGTGGCCGTGGGTCCGGTTGAGAGGGTGTAGGTTTAGTTGTTTTTTCGGATTCTGAGCGAGAGGATGGTTTGACTCTAACTTTGGATTTGGAGGAGTTGCAAAGAGTCCTCCGAGGAAGTTTCAATAATGATGGCGGCGACGGAGGATTAGAGTCTCTGGGAGGGGTGGCGGAGACGTGAGAGCCGTCGGAGTCCGAATCAGTTTCCATTCAGAGGTTTCGGAGGAAATGAGAGGGAAATTTTGAGATTCACCTGCGTGTGTTCTGAATTTCCCGCCAAATAATTTAGAAGTATTAATCGGTAATGAAATGTCGAAAACACCCTTAATCTCATTTTAATTATTATTATGGACTATAACGAAGTGGGAACACTTGGAATTAAAGTTTGGACCATCGTGCCGTAGAGCAGTCGACATCAGTTACTGTGGCATATGATTTTTGCCTCGGGAAAAGTGGGCAGCGAGAATAGGAATCACAGGCGTGTTTGCTTGAAATAGTAAGAGTTGGGTAGAAATTCTATAAAATTATTAATTTATTAAACATTCTTAGTAAAAACATTAAAAATTATAAAAATATTTTTATCTATCTATTAAATACCGATAGTTAGCCACCATCATTGAAAGGTGACTAAAATAGCTATATTAGTGCACAACCAACTAAATATGATTGATCGTGCGCTGAGATGATATTTTTCAACTAGATTCACCGTAGATCTAGCTAGACAGCCAGATTTGGTTACGTTTGGTTGTCAACGACAACCATATCTTGGTCGTCTTTGATGACTAGCTACAGCCATAGATTTGACCGTTAACAGTCAAATCTTTGATCGTAGATCCGATATTTTTTTGGTCAGATCCAAATTAGATCTGACTAAAAAGGCTATATTGGCGTACTACATATCAGATCCAGCTGATAGTACGCTATTATACCAGATTTTGACCACCTTTTAACGGTAGTGGTCGGATATGACAAATATGGGTGGTAAAGGTATTTTTATCAATTTCTAATTTTTTTTTTAGGATATTTAGTTAAATTAACAAACTTAAAAGATTTAAAAAATAGTTAAATAAAATATAATAATATTTTTGAAATAGAAAAACAAATGTGTATTTTAAAAATAGTAAGAATAAGTTAGGAGAAAATATTAAAACAAACGGACCAATAGTAGTAATAGGATAGGGGAAAATTAATGCTGGTATTGAATAACTAACACACGTTCTCTTTCGCTTATCCAAATGGGGTTATATCGTTTCACAAGCACAATAAAAATTAATGAGTAGGCTGTATTCTAATTCACACTTACCGGCAGTACAGTGCCGTGCAGCGCAGGGGAAGGCCTGAGTTAAACAAATAACTAACAAGAATGGGGGCGACTGGAGTAGAGCAAGCACCGCCCTCCAATGCCTCTCACTAATATCATCAGCCTAATGACATTGACAATACAACTTTACAATTATGCCACCAACAAGTGGTGTTTTTTTTACAAATAAATTTTGAACCAACAAAAAACCAATTGCCAATTATCCAAACAGCCCTTCAAACACAAAACCAATAAAATTACAACCATTTCTTCATTTCAGCATCCCCTCCCCAAATATATAAATAGATATATATTATATATATAAGACTGGAGGGACACACACCGTGATGCATGGTTTGAATGAAAGACTTTCACATTATTGTGCAATTGCACTTGGATTCCAGCTTTGGAGGCTTCATACAATCCACCTTATTAGGAAGCCCAACATTGCGAATCATAGATTCATCCGCATTCTCATCGTTTTCAGTCTCACTTGAGGGGGGTTTTGTGTTTGTTTCTACCCGCCTCTGCCTTGCTTTTTGGGATTTTGAAGTGTGTTTACCAACAGTCCTGCCTCGTTGGTTCTTTCTATCAGAACTAGATTTTCCCAATATTGTTACTGTTGGCCTGGAACCTTCCACTGGCACTGAACTTTCCTTCTCCATTGCTATGGTTACAGCCTCATAGGCCATATCATGGACTATGGAGCTGCAGAAAAGTATTGCATCTGTTGCTTCTTCTAGTGTCAGGCTTCTTGCCTTACTTCCTCCCCGAGACTCTACCAGAACAGTTGAATCCTCTGTCAAACATGCAGGGAAACTTATCAAAACCGAGCTAACTTACTACACCTATCTCAAAACAAAGTTTTATCAGATAAAATATGCTGTGAGTGTAGATAAACTGTATCATGTTGTAAAAACTAATCATTGTAAACAAAATGAGAATGTTTTTAACCCAGCAACCATATAAGATGAGAGATGTGGATTTAATTAGATCAGCTACAGTTCAAGATCGTGGTTGGGTCATCTTCACATATGATACAGTGTTCACTGTTCAAATAAAGTATGTTTAAAACTATGAAAAAAAAAAAAAAGAAAAAAGAATAGAAACATTTCAAAAAATTATTTAACTAAACCAGCAGCATAACTATAGGAATGAAGGTGCCTGAATAAGTTGCACAGCTTTCATGTGCGATATAAATGCAAATTAGTGGACATGATTAATGGAGATTGGAGCATGACAAGGAAGATTTCCATCAAGAACAAAGATGGCAAATCATTTAGCAAATCAATCTCGCAGAAGAAAAGTATCTGCTCACGAAAATATGGAGGATGGAAAGAAGATAATCGTAAAGAAAGACTGGCAGAGAACCATAAAATCCCCTTTAAAAATCTAAGTAAATTACAGCAAATGAGTAGTTTTAGTGGCAATATTAAGCCTGAGGCATAGTTGCTGTAAGAAATTAAGAATACATAAAAAGCGAAGTCAAAAGGAAAAATCTACTAAAGTCCAACGGGAAACAAGGAAAAAGCTAGAAGATAATGGAAATTAGCAACATTGTATAATATATTAAACCAATATCGGATACTTAAACAGTGTCTACAGTTCAACAAAGAGATTAATATTGCCATGTCATAATTTTTTTTAAATGAATGAAAAGTGGATACGGGTCATTAAAAATGCATAAAATTTATATTGAAGGGAGGAGATTGAGTTAATCTAGAAAGATTATTAGAGGAAAAAACAGTAAGACAAACACACCTAAAATGCCATGTGCATTATCTGAGGGGCTGGGCTCTGGAACAGCTGATATATCATTATCTGAAGGTGGATGAACAGAAGGTTCCTGAAATTCATTCATGATGCTTATTGACCTGGGAGAGACAACTCCGCTCTGTGAACTATGGGAACTTCGAAATTTTTTCTCAATTTCTATTTCTGTTATTGTAGTCAAGGAGATTTGAGCAGAAGCTTCTGCTATATCCACTGCATCATGGCCAGAATTCAGCATGGTATGTTCTTCCTCATCAGAAGACTCTGGAGTACTAACTGATGCTTCTACATCAGAGACACTCCTCGTATGATTTGGAATGTCTTCTCCATTTTCATATGATACATGTTCTCCATAATTTCGAAAGGATGCTACTGAATTTTGCTCAGACTGAATGCTAGCCATATGGCTTGACAATTCTGAGGTAGAAGCATCCATTGTTCGACTACTTTCATTACGTCCCAAATTACCTTCCTCGGGAACTGAAGTATTAGCGACACGTGCTTCTTTATTTTCTGAAGTTAGCAGTTCAGATTGAGAAGTGACAGGTGACCCTTCTACATCTTCGTATTTCATATCGCTCACTGAAACCTCTTTCGTGCTTCTTGGAAGACCAAAAGCCTGATAAGTATGGTTTGAACTCCCAGATAAAGATGACCCAATGCTTTGAGGTTTTGTATTTACATCATATCTGTGATTCTCCATGTCAGATTTCCTGCCACTCAACTGCCGTTGTACACGAAACTCTGTTTGTCTTGATGAGCTGAAATCGACTGAGGATGATGCAGATGCACTTCCATGTCCTATGGAACTTCTAAAACTGTTTGCACTTCCATGTCCTATGGAACTTCTAAAACTGTTTGCACTTCCATGTCCTATGGAACTTCTAAAACTGTTTGCACTATCCCTTGTGTAAGACAGATCTTCATAAGGTATGGTAGAGGCAGTGAAAGTCCTGCCTTGAACAACAGGCCCCTTGCTACTACTTGACCTCTTCAGCAGTAAGGAAATGCCAGCACCTTCCGAAGAGTCAACCTTCCTATCTAAATAGTTTCTTGAGAGCTGCAACTGCTGACCTCCAATGTCCTTACCAGGTAGATCATGGCCAACGGTAGGTTGGTCAATCTCTTGCAGGTAATTAAGCTTTTGTTCACCTCCCTCCACAACAGACCTTGCAATAGAATTTTCTCGTGCGTATTTCTGGCTTTGCTCAGAATAGGAAGTCTGGCTTTGCTCAGCATTCTCTCCATGCTCAGAAGCCTTTGGTTCAACCAAATCAAAAACTTGTGATGACAGTTCAGGTACAGCAACTGGGGGCTTTAATTCCTCAGACGATTTATTCTCATCAGATATATTCTTAGACAACTCTGAGAAATTCTTAGCACCTAATATAGTTGGCTCATGGTTGGTGACAGCCACAAGATCACTTTGCTTTCTGCAATCTGGACAAAGATAAATGTCTCCTTCCACTGGTTCAGTGACACAATATCTTAGACCGCATGTTGAACAAAGTCTTATATCATCGAAACTACCAACTTCAGAAGAATCAATCCTGACAAACAAATCGTTAGTAGTTGGATTTGTTTCCATATCACTACCACGGTAGCTGAACTCCTCAAAGGCATCAGGATCACCTTTAATAGCAGGGTCCCTATCCAAGCCACCAAGCTGAACGTTAGATGACTTATCATGTCTTTCACGCTCAACTTCTTCACCTAATGCATCCACCTTATCAAAGGCAAAGATTTCTTCTTGAACTTCAGGATACGGTACTTTCACATAATCACTAGTCATATCATCCTGGTGGCGATCACTCCCTTCATTATCATGTGCAACAGCTGTACCTTGATCAGAGCTCACATTACTGCTGGTTGTGACAGAGGAATTCCGAGATATCAATGAGCGATGAGCAGAATTGCCTTTTCCAACATAAAAAGTGCTACTGGGGACACTAGACAAGAGTGGTCTGAACATATTCTGGGGGCTCTTTCGATGATCCTACACAAAATCATTGATTATGATGTTCTCCAGAAGATGTAGACAAGTACATGCATGAAACATTTGTAGTTCAGTGCAATTACAAACATTGAGTAAAAGACATATGATAAGATGCTCCATGGAAGCTGTTAAAAGATATGT